CGCACCTGTTCTTAAGGCTACGTATAGATCCTGCCTCCACTACATCACTTCCTAAACTATTCCACTTCCTGACAACTTTGTGACTGAAGAAATGCTTCTTAAAATCCCCGTGATTCATCTGACTCTTCAACTTCCAACTATGACCCCTTGTTGCTGTGTCCCATCTCTGGAACATCCTGTTTCTGTCCACTATTTCGATTTCTCTCAGTATTTTACATGTCGTTATCATATCCCCCCTATCTCTCTTGTCCTCCAGTGTCGTCAGGTCGATTTCCCTTAAGCTCTTCTCGTATGAAATGCCCTTTAGCACCGGGACTAGTCTTGTTGCAAACCTTCGCACTTTCTATAGTTTCCTTATATGCTTGGCTAGGTGCGGGTTCCAAACTGGTGCCGCATACTCCAATATGGGCCTAACGTACACGGTGTACAGGCTCCTGAACGATTCCTTATTAAGATGTCGGAATGCTGTTCTTAGATTTGCTAAGCGCCCATATGCTGCAGCAGTTATTTGATTGTGTGCCTCAGATGTGCCCGGTGTTATAGTCACCCATGATCCTTTTCCTTGAGTAGGTTTGTAGTCTCTGGCTCCCTAGAGTGTACTCCGTCTGCTGTCTTCTTTGCCCTTCCCCAATCTTCATAACTTTGCACTTGGTAGAGTTTAACTCCAGGAGCCAGTTGCTCAACCAGGACTGCAGCCTGTCCAGATCCCTTTGTAGTTCTGCCTAGTCCTCTTCCGATTGAATTCTTCTCATCAGCTTCACATTATCTGCAATCAGGGACACTTCCGAGTCTATTCTTTCCATCACGTCGTTCACAAATACCAGAAACAGCACCGGTCCTAGGACTGACCCCTGTTGAGCTCCGCTCGTCACAGGCGCGATGTTTTCCTGACAGCTATTCCCTGATCCATTGCAGTGCTTTTTCTGTTATACCTTCCTGGCCCTCCAACTTTTGCACTAATATCTTACAGTTTAAGAAAATGCAATCTACCCGCCATTCTCTCTCTTGCCTTACTGCCGTCACTTTGCCATAGAAATCCAGTAGGTTTGTGACACGGGATTTCCCGTCCATGAAACCGTGCTGGTTGTAGTGAATAAGCTCATTATTTTCTAGGTGCTCCACTACTCTTCTTATAATCTTCTCCATGATTCTGCATACTATATATGTCAGTGACACTGGTCTGTGGTTTTGTGCTGCATGTCTGTCTCCTTTCTTAAAAGGTGGGACTACATTTGCTGTTTTTCACACCTCAGGTAGTCGCTCTATTTCGATAGATGTGTTGAAGATTGTGTTAGTGGTACACAGAGTGCCTCTGCTCCCTCTCTCAGGAGTCACGGAGAGATATTGTCCAGCCTCATTGCCTTTGGGGTATTTAATTCACTTAGCCTTTTAACCTCCTCCTCTGTTGTTTGTATTGTGTCCAGCACTTGATGGCATACCCGACCACTCCGGCTTTCTTGGGTTCTTTCTGTCTCCACTGTGTGTATGGTGGGAGTCGGTTGACAGCTCCTGGCCCCGCTTCTTCACTGGTCACTATTAGGTCCACTCTCTCCCTGCTCCCTGAGCTTTGTCGTATCTCTTCTTGAAGCTATGTTTGGATCCTGCGTCCACTACATCACTCTCCAGACTGTTCCACTTCCTGATAACTCTGTGACTGAAGAAATCCTTCCTGACATCCCTGTGACTCATCTGAATCTTCATCATCCAATTGTGACCCCTTGTTGTCGTGTCCCATCTCTGAAACATCCTGTCTCCATCCATCTTGTCAATTCCTCTCGGTATTTTATATGTTGTTATCATTTTTTCCCCTTTCTCTCTTGTCCTCCAGTGTCCTCAATGTGTGTGTCTTCAGACCATCGCTCATTCGTTGACACCATAATTACTTATTACTATTTTTTCTGAAATTTTCGGTAGCGTGTTGGTGATGTGATTGTTACAAGAAATGCTCGGTTTTGTAAAAACCGCTTTGGTTTATTCATGGCCTGAAAATAGTTAATAAATGTGTTGCAGCCATCTCAAAACAGTGGCTGAGCACAGGAGTAACAAATGATAGTGTTTGGTAACAGGTTCGGTGCTACGAAGCTTCTAACAGAAAAAAATCACATCTCGCTCCAAATCTTAACCATAGAATCTATATTGTCAGATCAGAAGAAAGTGGACATAAACGTCCAAGTAATATGACACAGGATGGAAAAGAAAAGAGAGAAAAGAGAGAGAGAGAGAGAGAGGGGGGGGGAGAGGGTAGTTGCTTTCAGGGCAAATCATTCACCCAGTTCACCTGGGTGAACTAGGATAGGCTATATTGGCTTAGGAGAGCTCATATGATGATAATCTTTAGGCAGAACGATGTTAGTACTAGGTAAGTGATAAGAATAAATGGAAGTGTTAGAACCCTGAGGTGGGGTGGTTATCTTAATGGTAAGATCTGACTCCAATATGTCTATAGAGAATCACGTGAGAAGTCTGGCAAGAAAGGTACCCCAAGAAGCTAACAGCACTACCTGTTACGTAGTAGAGGCCGCAAAAACATACGAGGCACCAGTGTACTTACATCAGGTGAATGCAGCACCTATTTTGAATTACCAGCCGCCCACCACCATCTCATCTGCGACTTTTAGATAGATTGTAAAAGCCATACAAGACTACTTATCTCTCGCCTTGACCCGACATTGATGGCTTTGTGATGTTAGTAAAGCGATCATCACACAGGAGAGATGTGGATGGCTTTACAAATTATGTACATGACCAGTATTGTCAATGAACTTAATTGAGATCCACTTCGAAGACGGCGAGAAGACAGCTTCGTACTACGAGACAGGACGCACAGAGCATCCACACTCTGGCAGTATCCTTATATACAACATTACTTCATATGACATTCATTCCTAGAATGGCTTGGGTATCAAACAGCACAAAAAATGATGAAAAAATGTTCATTAATTGCTGAATTGATCCGTCAAGTGGTTATTGAAATTCAACCTCTACATAAGCAAATTATGAAAGCTGCAGAAGTTGAAAGAAGACCAGAAACGGGGTAAAGAGTGATTCACTACACTGTAACATATGTCAGATCTCTCTTGGGAAAAGGTAGCAACAACATGAAAAACATGACCAAGTATATCAAGAAACTGAACAAGTGTAGAGGTTTGCAGTGAGAATAGTTGTGAGAGACTAAATGACTAGGAGAGACAACATACAAAATACTGTGATAAAGAGATAGTACAGATATGGGAAAAGGTTGTTCGAGATGTGGGAAACGGTCAGATAAGGTCAAAGTCTTAGATTGAATAACAATTATGTGTCACAGGGTTAGTGCGAAAGATGTATTCAACTTCTGAGTGATCAAGAAGTGGAAAGATCTGTCTAGTAAAGTAGTAGAGAAAGGTTCTATTTTGTTCTTTAAGAACTGGTGTGGAAGTTCTTAAAGTAGACAAGAGTAAACCCAGTTGTGACCAGTTTGAGAGGCAAAGCCAGGTATTGAGATCAGATTTGTACAAATACAAATAAGTGAAAACAAGTGAGGCTAGTCACCGAGGACACAGCACCAATACACTTCTGATCAAGCACCTGCAGAAGTCCGAAAATGACCAAAAGTTTACAACAAGAGTAAAAACCAGAAAGAAGGGAATACACCTTGAAAAAACTGAACATGACGACCTTGGCGGAGAGAAAGACCAGCAAGGACATGGACTCAAGTTTGTTGTAAAAGTGGAATGACTAAGAGGAAGCAGTATTGAAGGAGAAAAACTATAAAATATCTTCGAGATAATGTTTGATTAAAGGCCCAAGGTATCAAATGTTAGTGATGGTGATCAAAATATTCTAGGAGCTAAGTCCAGTAGCTAAGTATCGACCTCTGTAAAAATAAACTGGAGAGAAGAAATCGGTGACTACACACACACACACACACACACCCACACACCCACACACACACACAAACACACACAACACCCCCACACACACCACAACACAACACACACACACACCA